ATATATTATTTTTTTTTTAAATAATATATAAAAAAAAAAAAAAAAATATTATATTATTATTTATTTTTTATTTAAAATAAAAGATTTTGTGTTTTTTTTTGATCAGTTTCGGATTTAAGGGTATTTATTTCTTTGCTTAATTTTAATTTATTTGTAAAAAAATTAAAAAAAAAAAAAAAAAAATTAAAAAAAATTATTTTTAATTTTAAAAAAATTCAAATCATTTTGAATCATCAATAATTTAAATTATTTTCTAATTGTACAGTCCCTATATAAATTTAATGTAGCATTTTTTTTAATTATTATCATTATTTATTGTTATCGTTTAAAAGTTTTTTATCATTTTAATTTTAATTTTCATTCTTGTTCTTTTAAAAAATTATAGTTTTATTTTCATTGGTTAAATGTATATATATTAAATAAAAGAAAAACACCAATGACAACATTACTTACGTTTATATTTAAAACAGGGGTTATTTGGGTATTATCTTTTGTAGTATTAAAAATTTTTTATGTATGTGTAAAAATAGAAAAAAAAAAAAATAAAATAAAATAAAATAAAATAAAATTCATTCACTAGTTTATTTTTTAACAATTTTATAATTTTTTTTAATAAAAATAATAATTACAGACAAAGTATAAAAATAAATATGATATTGATGGGTTTTTAGAAAGGAAACATTTAACCATTCAATTGTTTTATATTGGTTTGGGTACAACTAAATTAAATGGAATCATTAAAAGGATTTCATTAAGATATGAAAAATTTTGGTATTATTGGTTCAAAATTGGTAGTTGGGTATCATTAATATTGCTACCAACATCTATGGGCTTATTAATTTATAATTTATCAATTATATTTTTTAAACCGGTTGGTGTTGAGCCTGTAATCAGTCCTATTGTACCGGGTGTTAATGTTAAGGGATCAGATTCTTGGTATTTAATTATTTCAGTTATAGTCAGTATGGTAATTCACGAGTTGGGTCATGCCATTGCATCATTTGTTTCAAAATGTGAAATTCACAGTGTTGGATTCTTTTTCTTATTTATAATGCCAGGCGCATCGGTTAATTTGGATATTGTAGGTATTGTAAACAAGTAAATTTGGGTATCCATATCTTTATTAACTTTTATTTTATTTTTCAACAGAGCGAAATGGATAAGGCTACATTATGGGAAAAATTAAGAATTCAATGTGGCGGTGTTTGGCACAATGTAGTATTATGTATTATTGGTTATTTATTATTAACATCTTCATCATTCATACTTTCACCAATTTATAGATTCCCAAGTGATAAGCTTTATATCACTCATATACCTCAGGTAAGTTTTTATTGATTGGTTTATTTTATAAAAAAAATAATATTAATAGTTTAATTTATTTAGGGTTCATTTTTAGAAAAAAGTTTAACAGTGGGTGATCAAATTTTAGAAATAAATAATTGTAAAGTTTATAATACTACAGGATTTATTCAGTGTATATATGGTGAAATAGCAAAACCAAAGTCATATTGTTTATCACCTGAAACTATTTCTTGTATAAAAGAGCATCCACTAAGAAGTTGCTTTGGGGTAAATGATGTATCAACCTTAATTGATTGTGAAGAGCCAACCAATTTTGATATGCCGTTATCCGATAAATGTGAAAAGTTAAATAAGCAGTGTGTTGGTTTCAAGCATTTGGGATCTTTTGTTTTTACATTAAAAGTATATAGTCAAGATTTTTTAAATTCTGAGGATTTAACTTTTATTAGTACTCCACAAGAACTATGGGATTCCAGTAACTATTAAACAATTTATTATTATACATAACCAAAGATTAGTTTTTAATCAATTATTATTTTATTTATAGTTCAAGTTAATAACTACCAAAGTAGAATAGGGTTTATTAATAGTTGGGATATACCGTGGTATTGGAACCATTTCTTTAGTTATTTAATACCAGTATCAGCAGGTTTGGCAGCATTTAATATTATATCAATACCAAATATGGATGGAGAACATATTTTAGATACATTATTATCGATCATTTTATTACAACAAGTTATTAAAAATTCGCCAAATAGCAAATCTAAAACGTCCTCATCATCATCCTCGTCATCCTCCTCTCAATCCTCTTCAATATTGGGTAAAAAAGAAAGAACCAAAAAGATAATATTTGAAACCACAAAGTATTTTACAATTCTAATATTTGGATTAACTGTGATTTTCTCATTTTATAACTTATCAAATAAAATACTTATTTGAAAAACCAATCCAAATTATAATACTAATAAATATAAAAGTTTTTTTTTTTTTTAAAAATAAAAGAGATAATATTTTATTTTTTTTAGATTTTAGATTCATTTTGTTTATAAAATTTTAATTGATGGCACTCTTAGAGTGCCATTTTTTGTTATTATTTTATTTTAAAATTAATTTATATATTTACATTTTTTTTTTTTTAAAAAAAAAATTAATTATAACTCTATTATTTGTTAATTATTAGTTATTGTTATTGTTATTGTTATTTCGATTTGATGTTATGTTGTTGATGTTTAATACAAAAAAAAGGATGAAAGTTATTGTATAATAAAAAAAAATATTAATTAAATATTTTTTTTTAAAAAATTATTTATATATTATTATTATTATTATTTAATTTTCAACTTGTTTTGAATCGTCTACTACTGGAGTTTTATAAGTATAAACAAAGTCACTTGTACCGCCATAATTTTTCTCTAATTGATCTTTTGGGATATAATCGGCTAATTGTTTAGTTTTGACAAATGAAACTTTTGAGGCAGTGTTTGGGTCTAACCAATGTTTGATGATGTGCCAGATACCCATGAAAATCCAAGGAGCATTTAGTATTAAACATTTTTGTAAAGATTCTGGATAGAATTTTTGGAAGAGTTCTACCATAAATTTGACTAATGGATAATCCATATTTTTTGAAGAGAAATCGGACATATCAAAGATAAGGGTGCATGTTTCAATACCTGGTTTTAACATTTGTTTACCATTTTCCATTACAAATACACAGTATCTCATTGATTCGTCGAGATCTCTATTATAGCTGTCGTGCTTGCTGGTTTTAACAACACAAACTGGTCTGCCACCTTTATCAATACCGTGAAAATATGATTTACCTGATTTTAATTCGTTTTCTACCATATCTGGTTTGATACCATTGACACCAATATTTTGGAATGTTGCTCTAAATTTTAAGGCTTCATGTAACATTTCGAATGAATCTTTTTCGTTCCATTTTCTTGCTCTTAAAAATCTATATATAAAAATAATAAATAGTTAGTATTTAATAAAAATTTATATTTGTGTCTTTATATATATTTGAAAAATTACCTTAAAACCATTGAATCATCAAGGTTATTTATTTCATTTTGTAAAACTGGATCTTTTAATTCTTTAACTTTATTATTTATAATATCCAATTGTCTTTGTTGTTCTATAGAAAGATCACCAACATAACCACTCATTTTATTTTATTCTGTGTTACTTTTTTTTTTTTAAAAAAAAAACAAATTTTTTTTATTTAATATATTTATAAATTAATTGTGCTGTTAAGTTTTTTAAAAGAAAATAATTAAATGTTAGATTATTATTATATTGATATTATTATTATTATACAATAAATATTATGGTGAGTGTATTATTATTAATTATTAGCTAATAATAATGTTGTGTAGTGCTAAACTTTTGAGAGAATTTGGTTGTTGTTTTGAAAAACTAAAAATTTAAAAAAAAAAAAATTTAAAAAAAATAAAATTTAAAAAAAATAAAATTAAAAAATAATAATTTAAAAAATCTTTTGTCACAAAAAAACACAACCCTATTAATAAATAAATCTGTCTCTCATTTATTTATTTTTA